GAAGTTAAGTGTGTATAACTAAAATAGAAAAGTTAAGGGGCGAAATGTACATTATAAGAAGTTAAGTGTGTATAAGTAAAACAGAAAAGTTAAGGGGCCAAAATGTCCATTACAAGAAGTTAAGTGTGTATAAGTAAAATAGAAAAGTTAAAGGGCCAAAATATACATTACATGAAGTTAAGTGTGTATAACTAAAATGGAGAGCCGTTTTAGTGTATTTATCAACCCACTCGAGGTTTCTCATGATTTGGATGAAGTTGAATCGAATTCGAATAATGGGTTTTTGTTAGATGATGGATGATCAGAAAAAAGATGATTTTGAAGATCAAGAAGAAGAAGAAGGTGTTCATGAGACTTCCCATGATTTGGATGAAGTTGAATCGAATTCAAATAATGGGTTTTTGTTAGATGAGGGTTAAAATGGTAATTTATTGTCATTCAGAAAATAGTTACCAAACAATATTGTTTTATTCAACACTTAACCATTCTGACCTTCTGCATTAAATTATTCAGCAACTACCAATCAGAATAAATGTATAATCCAAACGCCCCCATAATTTGGTGTCCATTTTAATATTTTTTTATCTTTCAAGATTCTATGTTTGATCTTTTTCCCTGTTGGTCGTCCAACTTTTCTTCTACGAAGACCAAGATTGATTTGCAAAAACCACATGAATTCTGATGGTTCGGAAGCTTGAAGTAAAAGCAAACTAAAAAAGCTTTGATTTGCACCTGCATTGATAATTACCCAAGTGGTAGATTGAATTACAGAGGAAACCAAAAGTTTGAAGGTTTTGTGGTTTTGATCTTGCTTTTAAGCCAAATCATCCCTATAATTCACACCTTACACAACAAACTTAGGGTTCCATATCCGATCTGACCCAGCCACAGGTATTTCTATTCATCTCTGCTTCTTTCTCTATCTTCAATTAGTAATTTTATTCAAACCTAATACCACCCGACTTCATTTGCGATCCAATAACTTGGATTTTGACGGTATTGATTTGTTCGAAAGTGGGAAAGCAGGAATCGTTTGCATCTGTTATCAAATTGGTGCCTTTTGTAAATTTCGGAATTGGGGTTTGTGTGCTTGCTCCTGTTCATGTAGAATTCATGGTTAAAAGTGCACCAATGGAGATCGATTGGTTTTGGCTTTGATTGTTCCAGATAATTTGTAGCTCACAAAGAGAAATAGGAATTAATCAGATGAATGAACTGATATCACAACCATGGCAAACATTATAAGGTATAAGAAATTAGGGGTTTGTACTTTATTGCGAGTAGGGTTTATGAGCATGAAATTAGAGGTTTTGATTTTGAACTAGAGATGAATTTATATGGACATGCTCCAACTCCAAGGCAAACATACCATATAGGAACTCTGATTTTGGACTTATTTATGTAAAGATCAAGCTTTTGGGGATCACTTTGATTTTGGACTTGTAGCTGCTAAAATATGCATTTTTAGGGTTTCTTTGTTGTTATTTCATGTTTCTATTCTTCAAACCAATGAGCTATGGAGATGTATCTTGCAGGAAGTGAATTCCATTAGAGCTGTTCTGTGCTTAACAAAATAAAAGTACAGGGTCAAGGCGGGGAGTACTCCTGTGGTGAGAAGCAACTCCCAAATCTGTTGAACATGGTAAGAGGATCATACTCTCCCGAATATATATATATATATATATATATAGCATTATTGTTATATTGAATGACTTATAGTTCTTGTTACTAGTTGTAATGATGTGTGCAAGTTTTTTAACCTTCATGATCACTTGGCGAACCAAGGTTCTACATCTTTTAGCTTTGATCTTTTCATGGATTTGTTGTTTTTCTAGTTTTTGCACATGAGTGAAGGCTTAGGCCATGTTTGGCAACCATAAGCTAGCTTACTTTTGTGCTTATTGAAAAAGCGCCATTTGGTTAGTAATAAGCTAAATTTATAAGCTAGCTTTTTGAAACACTACTTGAACTAGCATTTCAGTAAGCACGAATGGATTATTTTTTTCACAACTTTCTTTCCGATTATTCCCCTTATATCTAATTTTTCAACTGTGTCCTTTTAGGGTCATTTTTACATTATCTAGATTATCAACCAAGTTTTACCAAACATGACTAGTTTTTGAGCTCACAGTTAGTTTGCCAAAACGCAGCCTTAGATGCTCAAGCTTGCCATAGATGTACTTTTCTTTTGCATTGAAGAACCCAACTTAAAAGTGTTCATAAAATGATGTCTAACATGGAAGATAAAGCTCTGAACAGATGAGTACATCTTGGCCCCTGTCTGGCAACAATAAGACATCCATAGAAGGATGAATCTAGAGAATCTCCACATCTATATAAATGGCATAGAGTAGAAGTACGATAAACACACTCCTCAACTTGGTGCATAGATATTTGTCATAGATCAGTCATCTCAGTTTTTTAAAGCGGCTTTAGCCTAGTGGGTAGAATGATTGCGAGGTTCATGGTTCGACTTTAGGCACCACTCACCTGCCCATGGGACACATGATTTATCTCTCCCATGATGGCTGTGGTACCCGTACGTTACAGAGGGTGGCGTCATACCCTTTTTGCATAACTATAACATTTTGCCCATATTAGGTGCTCAGATGAGGTAATGTAGGCTTCCTACGAACACAAAGTACTTTGCTTTTGGACCTCAGAACCCAAGACATATATTGTTTAATGAGTAATAGACTAATAGTGTAAACTATTTATATTTCAGTGTTGGATTCTGTAGATTTGATTTACATTGTGATAAATTGTTTTAAAGATAACTCAGAGCAATGCATGGGTAAATAAGTAGTTGGTTATATCAACCAAACCGATCCGAGTATATCCCACTCAAGTGTAGGGTGATATGAGTAAATCCATTGGTCAAGGTTAACATGTAAATTTGTTTGCTTCTTAGGTTTACCACTCTACGTTTGTTGACGAAGAAGGAATTACTAAAGCTTGTGGGTGCCCCCTACTTCCTTTGAAAAGTCACATAAGAGGACCTGCTCCAGTTTCAGATCAAGGTCAAACTCTTTTTTAAGTATATAATATTTATATACGGCAAAACTCACAGACTGTGCTTGAACCCTTGACCTCCAAGAAGGCTGGGATCTACTGGTAACCCAAATACCGCTGGCCAATGACCTTTAATAACCTTTTCATGTGTGCTAAACTGCTAATAAGAAATGCTCGATAAAACCTTAATCTGATTTTTCGCTTTGTGCAGCCACAACTGATATCATTGATGAAGCAATCACATTCTTTAGGGCTAACGTCTTCTTCAAGAACTTTGATATCCAAAGCCCAGCTGATAAACTTCTTATATATCTAACGTTTTATATCAATGTGGCCTTAAAGAGGCTTGAAGGCTGCAGAACGTTAGCTGAAGGGACAAAAGCGGTAATTAACCTCGGTTTGGAAGATGTTCCTGTACCTGGAGAATCGGGTTTCCCTTTTCCTGGCCTCTTTCCACTACCCGGATCTCAGCAAGAAGCAGGTAAACTCTTCTATCAAGAGTATGTCAACATGTGTGCTGATACAAAAGTCAATACATATCATAAGTAAATAACTTACGAGGACCTTTTCGACATTTACCAAAAAGTTTAATCGAGAAATATGGTCCCTCAAAATTTCAATCTAGAATTATTGCTCGTTATTGATTGTGGTTTGCAAGATTTTCTTGTTTTGTCGTTATTGGATGACGTTTTTTGGACATTTGACAAATATTCAAACTCTTGTATGAAACAAGTTGTTCCTCCCTTTGTCCTCTTCCTCCAAATCAACCATTTATGTTGGTTAATTTAATTAAAATAATGTAATCGGTATGATTTTGAAAGTAACGACGTCCTCACCATGTTCGAGTCTCCTAGGGGCCACTAAGGATTTCCTGGTTGTTATCCCCAGGACCCTCTAGAATTAGTCGAGGTGCGCTCAAGCTGGCCCGGACATCCAAGTTTACCAAAAAAATAAATACGTTTACAAGAGTCACGTAGTTGGACTTGTTATAATTCATGTTTCGATGCCATTTGTTGATGCCTGTAAGATTTTGGAATGCAGAGCTATTGCGGAATTATCTGAAGCAAATAAGGGAAGAAACGAGCGGGAGATTGTTGAGCGTTGCATACAGACATAACGGGACTCCAAACAAGTGGTGGTTAGCTTTTGCTAAACGCAAGTTTATCAACACCATCGCTCTTTAGAACGACGCGGTTTGATGAAAAAAACATTCATATTTAAACCCCTGTACACAAACCAAGCAAAATGGAAGTTATTTTGTAGCATATTATTCATGATCTGTTTAGAGTTTGGAGTTCAAGATTCGTAATATGATATTGTTGTATAAATCAATCTTGGTACATCAGTGGTTATATCAAATCACGTTCCTCACTGCTATTTCAAATTTTGACTTTGACTGTTCCTTGCTTGATCCATGTATCATCAAATAAAGGATGCTCAGGAGGATCAGTAAAATGGACTTCATATTCAACAAGACAAGAAAAAAAAAATCAATAAAATTGTAAAATGGTAATTTAAGTTGGTATTATTTCATACAGTGGCACTGTTTGAATTTCAGGAAAATACGGTAGCACCGTTAACAAACCTAAATTTTTTACCCTTTGGTGGCGAAATAATACGGTGGCACGTGCCACCCATGCCACCACACAGGTCCGCCCCTGCTATTGACGACACCGACTTACGACAGAGAGGGATCGAAAGAGGGGGTTACGGTTACGCTTATTCGATTAGTTTAGTTGTATATAACATATTGTACGTTTTAAAATTCAACACTTTTCGCTTTACAACTTGTATATGTATGCTATAGCTACATGTACAAATTTAATGCTTTACGGTTTGGTATCTAGTATAAACAGATAAGCATAAGCATAATTTAGTCGGATAGTACGTTGCAATGATCGTACTTGGTAGTTTGTAACAGTTGCATTCATATGATTGTTTAGTTGTACTTAACGTTGTAAAAATTTGTACTCAATGGTTTGCAAGAGTTGCATTCATCGATTATTTAGTTGTACAAACGTTGTAATGATTGTATTTAATAGTTTGTACGGTTGTATTCATTATTTATTTAGTTGTCTTTTAAAGTATTAGTTAGTTGTACCTGATGTTTAAAAGATTAATCACAAGGTTGATGTCTGATTGGTTTGAGCTTAAATTCAAAAGATCAAAAGTGCCTGAAGTCCCATGTTCAAATCCAAGGAGGAACAATAATCCCCTTGTGGCCACAGAGGTTCAAATGGCGGTGACTCCGGACCACCCGCAAAGTAGGTGGTATCCTGGAATTAGTCGGCTCACATAACGGATTAAATATCAGGTTAATTAAAAACAAAATGTTTAAATGATTATAACCTTAAAATCTATACACCTAATAAATAAGTAACTTGGGTGACACGTGCCATCTTTTGGTGAGTCGGTTATCTTATTTTTCCGCCTAAACATGTATCTAGACACAATTTACATTAATGGTTCAAAGAGGCCTATTTGGTTGACATCTGTCCCTCTAAAAATATATCTTTCTTTTTTTATCGTGGTTTAACCGATTTCCCTACTAAACGGGATTTAGTTCAGACTAAAATCCTTCAGCCAATCTGACAGGTTATTGCTGACAGCCTTCAGCTTGTGTTTTTAGCTTATCGTGACAGCTTTCAGCTATTACTGAAGATACAGCTTTCAGCTTATCGCTAACAACTTATCGTGACAGCTTTCAGCTATCACTTGCTGATGTTGTCTAGGAGTTTTGTAAGACGAGTTTTTGGTTAACATGTCGGCTATAAAAGGTTTTTTTTTGCCAAAAAATATGTCTATATTTGTTCAAAATAACACATTTAATTTTATTCTAGAGTTAACTTCATTTTAACTAATTATTGATATAATTTCATTTTTAAATTCAAGTCTGAAGAGTTATTTATCATAGTTATACTTCAGAGTTATTTTAAGAGTACAAGTCTGAAGTCACATCGTACTTTCAATAATCATTCATATCTGTAAGATAAGTCCTTAATATGATTTAATTTTTTCAAATTATCCCGTGTAATACACAGGATTGAACCTAGTGTATCTATATAATATTAACTTGAAAGTATTGGTGTCTTACAATATAGTATTGATAAACTTAATTTTCTACAAGTTATTTTTATCATTTGAAATGATTAATACTCAAATATTTGTTAATTATTCTACTTATTAAACTAAACATTGCATTCATTTGTTACTAAATTTTCATATTTTGATCGATTAAGTTTCGAACAGCTTTTTTTGAAAAATTAAATCCTCACATTTGTAAAATAAAAGAAAAAAAATAATTATATCAACAAATCAACAGCAAAATACAAAAAAAAAAAAAAACAAAAAACAAAAACAAAAGGATATATACCATTTCCGTTAGCATTTTAACTTATAAGTAGATGCATAGAAAAATTATGTTCAAAATGATAAGTTATAAGGGGGTCTACTTATCCCCTTACAAAATAATACTGAAAAGACAGGACAAAATAAGAGTGGTCATTGAGGAGCAGACAATTTATTTTACATTTAAAAGTTACATTATGATGATTTCTACCAAAATAACCGGTTTTTATTAATTTTTATAAGTCAGAAGTAACGTATTTTAATAAGGACAAATTGTATGAAAAAGTAACGTGCTTTAATTTGATTCTTATTTTGAGTAACGTATTTTTAGAACTTTTATTTTGGTACCTAAGATGTAAAATTTTAAATATCTAAGTACTTGGGTAACCGGTTGAAGCATTAACTGGTTACCATCCTGATGTAGTATCTAATTCAGTATTATTTGCTGAAACATTAATCGGATACCAAATCACTCGCCACATCAACATGGTAACCGGTTAATGCTTCAACTGGTTACCCGAGTACTTAGATGTTTAAAACTTTACATCTTAGGTACCAAAATGGAAGTTCTATAACTACGTTACCGGAAATAAGAATAAAGTTAAAGTACTTTACTTTTTCATTTAATTTGCCCTTTTAATAACTACATAGATTTATTTGTTTAAAAATATTCATAAACTTAATCGTTTAAAATATAAAAGTTTTTTGGATTTTTCTTTGCCATTATAATCGATTTTAGGTTATTTTTATAGGTAAAAAAAAGATTTATTGAGTATAAGAATCTATTAATCACTCGAAAAAACACTGTTTTTTTTTATAAATTTTCTATTAGTATATATCTATACTATATTATAAAGCATTTGACAAAAACTCTTAAAACTCATTTTTTATGCGTGAAGTACTGTTTATTAATGCATATTACTTAAAACTCAAGATTGCAAGTAGATTATGCGTAAATACAACTTATTAAAGCTCCATATCTGAATTCGTATAACTAACTGCAGATAAACATAACCAAATACATGATAAACATCTTATTTTAAATATAAAAAACCTAAAATATAATTAGAATAATCATTGAGTACTAACAAAATACTTAATTATTATCTTTATAAAATGTTATATTATTAAATCAAAAATAAGTTATTTCGTTATTAAACTTAAATTAAATTATAATAAAAGAATAAATTAAAGAAATTACATAAAAAATGGGAACTTTTAAATAGTTGATTATTAACATTGATATATTTTTTTTCAAATATTTATGATATCTTCAAATTTATATTTTATTCAAAAATAAAATCATTATTGCTTTCTTAAAAACACATAAAATCGTATTATAACATCGACAGAGACAAATAACAAAATAGAACACTAAAAATCGAGATGTGTCTCGCTGCATTGCGCGAACTCTCTTCTAGTATATATATATAATTAACCTGAATATCCAACACGGTCCGTTATACGAGCCGACTAATCTCAGGGTGACCACCTGCTTTACAGACAGTCTAGAGTCACCGTATTTGAACCTCCGTGGCCACAAAAGAATTTTTATTCCTTCTTGGATTTAAGCTTAAGACCTCCAGGTACTTTTGACTTTTAAAACCAAACTCAAACCAATCAGAGATTACCCTTATGGTTTATTAATATATTTTTGTACATTATATATAAAGTAATTACTAATTAGAGTATAAAACAAAAATCCAAATATCCAAAAAAACCGAGTGAGGACACGAGTGAGTTGTTGCTGGGCGAGAGTAGTAGTAGGAGTTCATCAATCTCATCATCCAATCTCTCTTCGTCTCTCTTCCCTCTCCTAATGGATCATCTCATAACCTAATTTTAGAATGTTTTAGGGGAAAACCCTCAACAATCATCCATTTTCCCCTCAATTTCCTTTCCAATCTGAGAGATCTGAATCTCAACGATATGAAATTTATTGATCTCAATGCCCTAATTCAAATCCATCTGTTCTATTCAACTTTCGGTTTCTGCTGATCCATTAGTGTTTCTTATTATCAGACCAGATCGATGAAACTTCAAAATCTCGCATTAACAACAACAATGTCGTCGAATCCGGACCATCAGATTCATCACAACCGTTCGTTTGTGTCGAATCCGCAACATCAATCAACGGCTGTGATTGTTCCGCCGCCGTGCTCTCATTTGGAGGAGTTTAAGGCTGGTCGAGGGGCCACGGCGTTTGGTAAGTTATTGGAATGCATTCGAGTGAGGCCGCTAGGACGCGCCTCCGTGCGTAGGGAACCTAATGAGGTCTTCCGGTGCAGCGCGTGCAGACAAGCGTCACAGCGGGTCTATGCTTGCGTGTCGTGTGCTGCTGTTGTTTGTGACATACACGCGCCGGATCACGAACACGAGATCGCGATCGACGTGGATCGAGCGGAGCTGTTCTGTTGCTCGTGCGGGGACCAGGTGTATGATCGCGATTTCGATTCCGCTATTGTGTTGTCGCAGACCGCGGCGGCGACGCTAGGCGGATGTAACTCGCTTTGCACACCTCCGCCGGAGAACCTAAGAAAGCGGCGGCGCGTGGATTATCGTCCCTGGACGCCTGATTCAAGAGAGCGCGCATTGCTAGGGACAAACTCAAGTTTGTTACCTGGAAACGACGAAGATTTATCTTCGAGCTCGAACTTTCCTGTGGGATTGAAAGGGCTAAACAATCTTGGAAACACTTGCTTTATGAACTCTGTATTGCAGGCGTTGTTGCACACACCTCCGCTACGGAATTATTTTCTCAGTGACCGGCACAACCGGTTTGTTTGTCAGCAGAAGAATGGAGTTCATCGGAACAAAAACGAACGAAATAACAAGAATCCACAGAGGTTGTGTTTGGCCTGCGATACAGATGCATTGTTTTCAGCGGTGTTTTCTGGTGATCGGAAACCCTACAGCCCTGCAAAGTTCTTATACAGGTCTGGATTAGTTATTTGGAATCATGCTTCTGCGATGACATGAGAATTTGTTTTTCTGTTTGTATTTCTTGACTGAATCAAGTGCTTCTGAGAGATTTACATGTGCATCTGGATTAAATCTTGGGGAAAAATGTAAAATTGTAATAAATAAAGTTGGAAAAACTAATAGGAAGTTTTACAACAAAAAATGGTCAGCGTTGTGGTGCCTTTTTATAATATCTTAAAGTGGGTCAGATAGAAGGTCATGTACCAAATATTGTAACTGTCCTAATCGATCTTTTTTAAGTTTACTTGCTGATTGGCATTTTTGATAATTTCAAAGAATATCCTATTAAACATATGATTACTTGCAATTGTTTCCCAGTTGGTGGCAGCATGCAGGAAACCTGGCGAGTTATGAACAGCAGGATGCTCATGAATTTTTCATTTCCATGCTTGATGGGATCCACGAAAAGGTGGACAAAGATGAGCATAAACCTCATAGTCAAGGTGAACTCAGTTTTGATTCTGTTAGTAGTTCTTTTTCATGTTGAATGTGCAACTTTGTATGTGGTCATATCATCCAGATTCCAGTGATTGAGATGTGTACCATAGAAATTTGAGAAGAAAGTCAATATTTAATCCGGTAAAGTGAAGTGGACTAGTGGAGTTTTATTCTTTCTTTAGGTGACAGAATAATAAGGGTAATTGGTTTTTCTTCATGCTGATATCACATCTGTGGTATCGAGAATCTGGGGTAGGGACTTCGTTTGCTTTTGCAAGTGGTTTAAATTGATGTCAAATTTGGTTAAAAGAACCATTTGTAGGACCTTTCATATGTTCATTCTCAACTGATCCTGATATAGGTTTGGTGTCTATACTCCTTGTTTGATCAAGTTCTATAAGACTTGTTATAGGTTTTAGCAAATAAAATTATGGCATGTTGGTGTTTTTTAATATTATATGTGATATTCTCTGCTGAAGGCCTTCCAATGCTGCACTATTATTGTTAACTACAAGATTTCTCTTGACACATGCACACCCAAACCGTTGTGGACACTACTGATGTTTGGACCAATGGGTGACTTAAGAATCACTCTCTCTTTGCTGTTTAATTGGACTACAGAATACTATAAATATAAACTGGGTTAAGGTTTCTTTTATACTTGTTTGTTGTTCTCCTTGAGCCCTAAGATTGGATAAAATGTTTGCAAGTGTCCATGTGACGAGAGTATAGTACACTCCAGATAGCCGATGAATTATCCACTAAGAACTAGGAAAATCATCATTAATAGTCTCATCAGCCCCCCTGAATAGCCATATCTTTGCTGGTCTAGCCTCTGATCTTCGACAATCTACACAGCTGTTAACATTTTTAAGCGTGACAACACTAATCCAACTGCTGGGTTTTGATTTAGTTGTCATAACTGCCCTAGGTGCTTTGACAAATGATCTCGGATTTAGGAAAACTAAATCTGCAAGTGGGCGCTTACATTATTTCAGTAAGTCTACTCCCCTGGCCTATTTCGGTACATCGTAGGATTTTCTTGTGTCACATCTCTTCTTTTGGCCATTGATAGGGTCTTTTATCTTTTGATACAGATTATCTGGAGCCTGGAGGGAGTTCAAGGTTTCCACTAGATGACAGCCAAGCTAAATCCTTTTGTATAAACATCCTGCTTCTCACATATCAAACTTCCTACATAACTTCAACAGGATGAATAGAGGGGATGTGGCACAAGAATCCTGTATGACATTTCTAGTTTTCAGGATTAGTGGATGAGACAGCTAACTTAACAAGCCAACTTCCCTATTCCAGTTATTGGTAATCAACTTTCCCTATTTCCTCTTTCAGTGAGTTATTTTTCAGGAGGATAAAAAACAGATAATTATGTGTAAAACATCACATGATATTGGTCCCGATGGTTTAATCACATAAAAAAGTGTAAATTTATTTGATGGAACATTTGAGCATTCCCTAGTCTGTTTCCTGGTAACAAAATGCTTACCTTGCATGTTAAGAGGAAGCAATATTGCAAATGCTTGCATGTATGAGCACTAGTTGCGTACTTGCGTACCCATGCTATGCAGCGCGAAGTAATTTTTTATTGTAAATCGAGAATGGAAAATTAATGTAACTTCTCATTAGAAAAGGAAACTATGAAGTTTATGTTTGAGCATAATAGAAATTACAAGTTGTGGTTAAACATATATTGCTAATTTGAAGACAAGGTTAAAAACCCGAAAAAGCAAATTGATATAGGTGTCAAATTAAACATTATAAAATTCTCGGTTTTTGGTATATACTTCAAAAAATTTATTCTAGTTTGAATATTTTAGATTTATAAATAAAGATGTAACTTATTAAAGTTTTAATACTGGAATTTTTTTGGATAAAGATAATGGCAGAGTAATGTGTAGGATTCGGTGATTATCCTATACTTGGACATGTTTATCAGTTGGTTATTACTTGTTAGTTAATTATTATAAGGAGTTCAAAGAGCTTTAGTTTTATGTATGTAGTGATTACTTGTAAAAACTTAATTTAAACGATTATGTTAATAAGGAGTACATAATACTTTAACCAAATGCTTTACAATATAAGTAAAGTATATAGCATATCAAAGTCATGAAACTGACTATGACTTATTTTTCCTTGTAGGTAGCGGAGACTGCTGTATTGCCCATAGAGTATTCTCCGGAATCTTGCGTTCTGATGTCATGTGCACTGCATGTGGTTTTACATCCACCACATATGATCCTTGTGTAGACATCTCACTGGATTTAGTACCCAACCACGAAGGTCCTGCAAAAACATCCACAAAAACTCATCATTCTTGCAATGGAAATGCAGAATCCATAAATTCAGGTCACAGCTCAGGAACATCGACACTAATGGGTTGTCTGGACCGATTTACAAGACCAGAAAGATTAGGATCCGACCAGAAGTTTTTCTGCCAACAGTGTCAAGTGCGACAAGAATCTCTCAAACAAATGTCAATAAGAAAGCTTCCGTTGGTCTCTTGTTTTCACATCAAAAGATTCGAGCACTCGTCAATAAGGAAAATGTCAAGAAAGGTGGACCGCTACTTGCAATTCCCGTTTTCTTTGGACATGTCTCCTTATCTGTCGTCATCCATCTTAAGGAGCAGATTCGGGAACCGGATATTTGGGTTTGACGGTGCGGATGGGAATGAAGCAGATGAGTCAACTTCGGAATTCGAGTTATTTGCGGTTGTGACACACACAGGGAAACTGGATGCTGGGCATTATGCGACATATTTGAGGTTGAGTAATCAATGGTACAAATGTGACGACGCGTGGGTGACACAAGTGAACGAGAACATTGTGAGAGCGGCGCAGGGATACATGATGTTTTACGTTCAGAAAATGCTTTATTACAAGGCGAGCGAGAAACAAAGCGGTTGAAGTGAATTTTCGATCAAGGTATTTTGGTCTTGTTCTGAATTTGGTATTTTGATCAAGTGTTGATTCTTCTGTGTTTTTTATGTTCAAATTATGAAAGCTTCAGATCAAATTATACCTTTTGAATATGTACATTCACAGTTTGATTACAAAAGAGATTCAAGATTCTGTTATTTTGGGCATACGTTGGTTGTTTTCATTTGCAACAAGTGTCTTTTTTTTATAATCATAAGAGTGGTGCTAGATTGGTTTGAGCTTGGTTTCAAAAGTCAAAAAGTACCAGAAGGTTCCAGGTTCAAATCCAAGAAGGAATAAAATTCCCCTTGTGGCTACGGAGGTTCAAATGCGATGACTCCGGGTTATCTGCAAAACAGGTGGTTGCCATAGGATTAGTCAACTCGTATAACAGGTTGGATGTCCAGGTTAATTAAAAAAAATCTTTTTTATCCCTCTAAATAGGAGACTTGAGTTGAGGGGTTAGAATTATAAATATTTATTTATTTAATTTATAATTTTATCGTTTTTTGTTTTTTTTTTTTTTGCTGTGGTTGGTAGTTGGTTGGGTGGGTGAAGTATGATTACATGTTTGAGAGTGTATAAAAATATCATTAAATTCTTATTTAAAGTTATTTAATTAATTTGTGAGATGATAGAAAAACCACCCTGCTGTTGGATGACGTTTTCACCCAACAAAACAAAATTAAATCTATAAACTTTTGACAAATTTAAACATGTCACATATATTAATATACTAGAATGGTATTCGTGCAATTCAATGAGATACATTTTCGTTATAATATTTCGTTTTATTTTTTTATCTTTGTTGATATAATATAGTTTATGTGGCTTTGAGAAGTATAATATTTTTACTTTTGAATAAAATTAAATTTGAAGATATCATACAAAATTTGAAAAAATATATCGATATTAATATCAAATTAACTATTAAAAGTTCTCCTTTTTATACAATTTCTTTATAATTTAATTTTGTTCAAATAGTAAAATAATTTTTTTTTGGTTTAACAATCAAGTTTTTATAAAGATAATGATTCTGTTAGAATTCAATGATTCACCTAATTATATTTTAGATTTTTTATGTTTAAAATTAGATGTTTATCTTGTATTTGATTATGTTTATCTGCAATTAATTACACGAATTCAAAAATTAATAAGTCGTACTTACACACAATTTACTTGTAATCTTAAATTTAAGTAATATGCATCAATACACAGTATTTCATACATAAATATTAATTTTTAAGAGTTTTACCAAATGCTTTATAATATAGTATAGATAAAACACTCCCATCCTTATTTTGACTTAAAATTCCTTCCTCAAAATAAAAATATACAATTATTTCACACAATTCTCATCTCACTTTGGACCATATCTTGTATTATCCTTATACTGAAACTTTTAACAGATTCAAAAATGGAACTAGAATAATGAAAACCCTCCCTACCTCACCCTCAACTCAAGTAACCAAAAACTAAATTCACAGAAGTAGATCATCCGATCTCCTCTCGACGCTGCTCTTTGATCCTCGATCCCATTCGCCGCAACACGACCCTCAAAATTGACGCAGCTGCAATCAATGCTATTTCCAGATGTTCAGAGCTACTTGTTTTGATCGATAACTGTCCCATGCTTCGGTTGTTCAGATTAGCATTTACTGACAAGTTCGTCCCTCGCCCCATCCTGAAATCAGACTCTATGTTTCCACCCACAACCATCTCTTTGTTCATTGACAACACTGTCATCGTGAGGCTAACCTTGTCATTTCGCACAGGGTAATCTCTCCCTCGTACAATCGTCTGCCAACTCCCGCCATAAGCCACCCGTCCAACGCCCCCCATTCGACCACCATTCACCACAAACTTCACTCTCTTCCCTAAACAAAAACTATCTTCCAGCTTCATACCAGCATAGTAATTGTTCCCAAAAGACATTAAAGATACTCCACATTCTGCATTATTATTGCCTTCTAAAACACTAACCTTTGTGTTACCATGAAGGGTGTAGATTAGATCTTTACCTGAAGATTGAACATCCAGGGCTGCGCTATAAGTGGGCCCTCGTGGATCCACAAAAGCTGCACAACACTCTGACTGCAAATTCAAATCCTGTTTATCCTTGCTCATCTGTCCGGTAACTGATGCATAAAAGTTTTTGCTTATTTTACTAGTTGTTTCTAGGTTTATTCCATCGAACCCCACATCATGGTCCCAACCATGGGGGTCAAGAACCGGTCTAGCGAGCCACTGGTCGCTTGAAACAAGGCAACGGTATCTATGAAAAGGGCTATCAGGGTCGAAACTAGGAGGAATTGACATATCTGGTAAAAGCACAGGCTCTGGCACCTCCTCTTTTTCATTGGAACTATTGCTTTCCTCAGAAACCTTCTTCTCTCTTCGTGCTTTTAGCTCTTCCTTCAACTGTTTCTTTAAATAAAGGGTCTCTCGGTAATCCAACTCATCAAGGTAGTCGTTTTTCTGAGATTTTGACAGTTTCTTGAACTGGGATTTTGACAAGACTCGTATAGGAGGTAACTGATCATATTCTTCTTCTTCTTCCAAATCTGAAAGGCGAATACTGTCCATTTCACTATCAGCTCCATTTGGGTTTGAATTATGATGCCGGAGAAAAGATGAAAGAAGATGGGGTAAAGACGGTAGTCGGGTGCTATTTGATATTCCCAATTCGATTCTATCCTGGAAATCCAAAAGTTTGTTGACATCTCCCAAGATTTTGGTGCACAAGCATGACAAAAGGAACTGGGATTTCCAAATCTGCCCATTTGGAAGAATCTTGTCTCCATTGATGTTTGTTTTACACTGAGGATGATTCTCAACAAAGATAATGGGATTTTCAAGCTTCGAGTCAGAAATAGCCTGGTGAATGTAATGCTGTATAAGATCTGCGCACTGGGCAAGATAAGATTCATAAGTGACAGGGTATCCATTGGGTCCTTCAGGAAGAGCCGAGGAAGAATGAGTCATGACAAGCATGGTGTTGAACCAGATTCCACTACCGAATACTTCGGTTATGAGCTTCAATAGAGGAAAATCACTGTAACCATCGTTAATTAGGTCAAGCCGTTCTAGATACAAAACCATATCTGGAGAGGATTTTCTGATGTGCCTCTTGATCTTGCGCAGAATCTTCCGGTTTCTTCCAACGGTATTTGGTGATGGAGGCAACAGACCAGGTGTATCGATGAAAGATATCTTGATACCATTAACGGTCCCCAAAATTTCTTGGACGCGATCAGTAGCAGGTTGGAATGCATTCGTTCTGGCTTTTGGTTGATTAAGTATGGAATTGATAGTTGAACTCTTGCCAACACCTGTTCTACCTAGGACTAGTATTGAAAATGAGAAATCCAACTCAGGCAGACCAGATGCTTCTTGTTCTATTGCAATCGCCTTAGCCCTATCACTGCTGAGGTTCACTCTTTTAAGATCAGATTCTCTTGCCCTTATCAAAGTTGCCAGGTGGATCCGGTACAAAACTTTGGCCACCATGAGATCATCTTGAGAGCAGCCAATCCGACGAAGAAGACGCAAGAACTTGATCTGAAGCAGCTCTATCTTTGCCAATGGCTCCAACTTGATTTCCCCGTTTGCATGATGAGGCTGACGAGAACTCTCAAAAGTGACTTGCTGTAGTGGTGAAGGATGTGGGCTTTCTTGGTTGGCAACAGAAGAGCGTGACACGTCAGCACCCTCTGGGGGTGGCGAGTTGGCTGTTTGAGCAGAACCTGAGAAGTGAATAGCAAAGAGGTCATCTTATAATTGATGAATTGATTCAGGACTTTCCAACAAACTAAGAAAAACTCTTTTTGTGCTAATAATAGAACATGTGTGCATGTGGATATTAATTTACTATTTTGTGGCATGCCAAAACCGAAGGATTAACAATCTTTGATGCTAAATATGGACACAAAGAGCAGAGCGGAAATGACCTCAGAGAATGTAATCGACCAATATATCTAGTAGATCATATAAGACAAACATAAGAGTCGAGGAAGTGATCTGTATATGTGTCTTGAACACACGTGCAAGGTTCAAACATGATCAAGGAAATGCAGATGAGTGATACCATGAATGCTGAAGTCGTTAGCAGCGCGTTCCCCTTCAAAGAAACTGTCACTGCCAGACAATGGTCTTGCCGAGACCAACGAGTTTGAAACCAACTGAGATAAAACCCAATCCTTTATGCTCATCATGTTCCTAAACAACAAGAAAACAGCTGTCAAGATCCTGAACTCTTGTAAAAACCACACAATCATGTATTCTAGGGTTTAAAAAACTTGATTACACAGAAGAGATTGAATTATACAGCACTAAGAACTTAAAAAACTTTTGTCTAAAATTTGACAAATGAATAAACAACAGCATCTGCTACAACAAACAGAGGTTGGGATGACAAACAAAGCATTATCATATGAAGAACCAGCAGTATACACTAGCTCCTTCCACATCCACAAACCTTTTGATGATGTGATGTAATGTAATGTGTGGGGCTTCGATAAATTTATAAAATTAAGAACTTGGGGATAACAAGCCTAATGATGTACAAGATAGGGGTTGTGGGGAAAATAAAAAGGAATAGAACAGAACTTATTTAACAGAACATAACAAATATAATGGAAAATACTAATTTGCCCCCGATTATAATTCTTTACCACCACTTTTCAGGTTGGATTATAGATATCAATCACTCCCAACTTGACAAACAGAGACAGAATTCTGAAAACAAACAGCTGTAAACTGACAAAACAGGAAGAAACTGTCTGTGTGCCACATCTTGACTAGTGTTCTGGATGTTACCTCCTCAAGTTGGAGCATAAACATGCCTCACTTGCCGACCCAAACAGAAACACTCCTAAAAGTAACACTAAAACTGGGAAGTTGGAGGATATGCAATTTGACAGACTAATGAAAAGCCAAACTTCAGAACTAGAAGAACTCCTCTTTCCATATCAGGATCAAACTACCAGAGTACGGATCAGCTGATGAATCCTTTTGATCCGTTTACTCAGCCAGAGACATCAAAAGCTGATAACATAAACAAGACCAAGTACAGGAGAAACAAACAGAGAGCAACAAGCAAAATATTAAACCAATTGTACAAGAACTAAAAGGAGACTCGAGAGAACAGCTCTGAAGCATAGACAAAAACTCCAAGGAACACATAACAGACAATCTGGGAAGAGGCAGCAAGAATAGACCCAAGAAACAGGTAGGTTCAGACTGAAACAGAAAAAGAACCTACCTAAGCGGAAAGGCATTCCAAATTACATGTATCAAATAGTTTCGTCAAACCAAAAACTGGAAAATCAAAACTGATCAGAAGCATGGCTAGAAAACCAAAGCAGGACATGGAACATGATATGTACAGAGAGACAGGTAGAAAACAAACAGAACAAGGCAGAAAACCCATAATACACATACGGACAGAGCAGAAGTCTATGGAAATCCTCCCCCCCCCCCCCCCTTCCCCCCAAAAAAAAAAAAGAAAAAAAAACCTGGGGTGAGGATTGTATGATGGAGTTTTACATGGACCTCCAGATAACTTAAACGATGACACGACATTCCCCAAATTAACAGAACAAGCTGCAGCTTTTTTAGGTTATGAACACACAATCCATAAGCTTCTAGGAACAAAAGAAGTCCCTGAACTCTGAAGTGTCAGGGAGACCAAACATATGTTGAAAGTACATGGACCAAAATGGAACCCGGACGCAGTAATAGAAAACTGCAATGCTACATCAAAGTGCATCAACAGATAAAAAAGATGAAGGGAGTTCCCAGCTCATCACCACATCAGCAACTCTGGTCACTGAGGCAGAAATAGAAGGGCGGCAAAGTAGAGATGGCACACAACCCAATTCTCTGTGACGAGGGAAGAAATAACCAGATCACAGAGGGATCAAAACTTGAATAATAGATTACAGCAAGTGACGGCTAAAATGGCAGAACAAGGGAGCAATTTAAGAGCAGATTCTAATGATCACGTAATGGCAGATGGCAGCTAACAACCAGATCCTGATCAGACACAGACTGGTAGAGATGGCAACCAGCGGTGGCCCAGAGCCTGCAAATCTGCTGGGGTGGATAACCACTGAAAGCCAGCAAACCTGGCTGTGAAAGTGTAAGGATTTAGAGTTTGAAGTGATCTATATTACTGAGGGAATATCCTGAATATGGTGTATAAGATGTGCTCATGGGCCGACAACAGTTGGAATAAACTAGAGGCTACATAATGGGGGCACAAGGGAATCACTAACTGAACTCTAACTCTGTTCTATCTAGCAACAGCCTAATGGAACGAAAGAAGGTGTCCAAGGACTCGTCAGAGTGCTATGCTGCAACTTAACATACAGGGTAGAAATTTAAGTATTTAACCTACATTCTTATACGTTTTTTACTGTCGGTAGGTAGTTATTGTCTGATTGTTGTCCATCATTAAATTACAAATAAATTTCCCAAATTAATTAATTCTCCCGAATAACATCAGTGGCACCATCCCTCTACCCAATGAAATGGGCCCACAACCATGCGAAATTTCTCATTGTATCAAATACAAAAGGATTAACTCTAGTTTTGGGTAGCTGACTCGATTGGCTCATTGAATCTTGAGAAGTACAATGTTTTCACCATGAACCTCATGTTTTTCTAGCAGAGATCAACTGTGCTTTGTGATTAGAAGTATATAGATCACAACATAGTCATAGAGTTGTGACCTAGTAATTCCAATTGCACTATCACAATTCCTAGCATATGATAAGTTCATTATCTTGATACTGAGCATTCTATAGTCGTGGATGTAATATATGCTCTCTAGCACTAGCAACATAACAATTCACAAGTAACATTTTTTAAACATTAAAGAAAATGTGTGATAAAGTATAACATCAACCATCGATAAGGAATCCAAATTGATCCACTGAATCATAACTGAACTTCCCTAAACAAGCTTCTTTGATTTCAGAACAGCAAGAGACTGATTCTCAATCATTCACTCTTTTGCAAATCACAGTTTGTAAGATTACATAATAACGTCATAGAGAATCTACATATCATTACCTGATATCATAATTCTTAGTCATCTAATCCCCTTCATGTTCATCTCTAATCCACTATACTAGGTGTCAAATTTACACACTAAAATCTTATGTCCTAAAAACATCATGTGTCAGTATTGGCTAACAACCATTGTACTCCCTCCATTTAAATTTGCTATATTATTCCATATTCTAGTACTTATCATATTCAAAAACGGCATGGTTTTCGCTACCAACTATGACCAGCATTTTCTAATACCTACCATTTATCATTAAGTTCATATGTAAGTTGCAAATTTAAGAGTTTGCAGTTCTATATTCATCCCGCAAAATGTATCTCTTCCCAAAAACCAAGTAAGTATCATAATAGAAACTAAATCACATCCAATCAACTCGTTCAACTTGATCAATAAGCAAAAAGAAATTAGCCGGATTCAATTGATACCTGACTGTAATTCGATTCTTCTACTAGAGCTTCTCAAAATTGAGCTCAAATAACACGAAACCACCGTTACCAACTACACTCGATCATCCTCAACCCTTTCTCGACTGAAATAAAGCTCCGAGGGGATGAGAACCCTAGAAAGCGGTAGTAGGCGTTGCGAATCCAAATTATAAGAAGAAAAAACAGTAAGAAAAGGAAGATTTGTGCGTTTGTTGAAGGTAGAATCGAGTTGAGGAAGAATTTGCACCCTAAAAACTGGATAGGGTTAGAGGGAAAGAGACGCGTGGAGATGTATTGTTGGTTGATAGCGAAGACCAATTTGAGAGCAGAGCGTACGATGATGCAGTTGGAAGGCGTGATTGTTGAGAACAGGTGCAAGATTACATGATGATGCCCTTCCTTATTTCCTTGTCTTTTCTTTCTTCCCTCATTTGGGATCACAACACAACTTTCACAATTTCTCATTTGGATCTACTTTTTCAGATTTTTTTGCAAAATCAGTCACTTAATTTTTATTTAACAATCAAATCAAACCAAACCGATGTTAGGTTTTTGATTGCTTGGATTCCACTGAAAGTCGTGAAACACTTTCAGATTGAAGTTTTCGATGATACAATCGAAAATTTCGGATAAAATCAATGGTTTGCGAGCAAAGAATCGATTGTTATGAATCTGTGTGTACCTCTCAAAATCAACATGACCAATTCGAAAAAAAAGAACTATCAAAACGGCAGTTTTTTGAACCCTAAACCGGGTTTTTAAAAAGGGGCCAAAAACAGGATTTAAACTTTAAAATTCGGATTTTTAAAGCATTTTCCACAAAGCAAATATTACCCGAATAAAAAATTTCCAAGCCGACCTTCCCAGCCAGGGGCTCTGCCCCTTGGACCCCGCCATCAAGGGAGCTGCCTCCGGACCCCCGTCGTTTATCCCCTAAATCAAAATAAACTCAAACAAGTGTGTACTCCGCACCTTCCTTACTTGTTCGATATATATCATGATTACATTGATCAACAAATTAATCCCATTACACTTAAATGATATTAGTGATACAAATCACCAACAACCAAACCAAATGTTTGGCAATTAATGTTAACAACATCTACAATTAAGAACCGAAGCAAATGTAGTCCGTTTTGTCTGCTCCTGATTAGATTTTTCAGTTTTGTCGTTCTTAATTTTTTTGTGTTTGTACCTAATTTCAGTAGAATATTTATGTTCTAAAATAAAAGGACTATGCAAGGGGCCGGTTACCTAAACACTTATCCGGTAAGCACTTGTCAGTAAAATTCAACACTATCGTTTACTTACTGGGTAAGATTTTATTCACTAAAATGCATCGTGTGCAACTATTTAATCCCGGTAAGCGCTAACCATGGTAAAAGTGGTCGCCCTCACTTACCGGGTGAGACTCTCGATTCTTGTCTTCGCTCTTACCAGGTAAGATTCTTGTCATATCCTTCCGGTAAAGTAAAGTGATTTGGTAAGCGCTTACCCGGGTAAGCGTTTGGTAAACGGCACCTAAGATTTGAGTGTCGAGTCCAACCAACTTGATTACAACATTTTAGAAAGCTCTGTAATTGATGATAACATTTTCGATCATACAATACTAAAATAAAGGTTTTGTATTCAACATTTTCGATCATACAATACTAAAATAAAGGTTTTGTATTCAAGAGAATTCGAGGCAAGATATCCATATCACAAAATGTTTAATCTTCAACATTTGCAGAAACATCTTCTTGCCCACAAAATTCACACCATCAAGGCCGTACGCATGTCGACTGTAGTTGATAACCGGAACATCTTGAAATCATTCAGAAGCTCTTTCAAAAATGTTAAGGATTGCGATAAATTGGCTGGGCTAACCATTTGAGATTTAAGGTAAGTTTTCCAGATTTGGCAACATCAACTACAAAACTGTCTTTGTATTCCCCTTCTAATATCACTCTTGTTAGTGTCATAATGCATCTCCCCATGAAGTCCTGCATGTAAACCAATATATACATACATACACATAATATGTTACCAAACCTCCCTCAATTCAACTTGGTTATCATTCGCGAAATGTATGTACCTTCCCGAACGTGTCATGGTCCCATACTTCTGCGATAAGCATATCGTGCAAACCATCCTCAACAACAAAGTCAAAAGTCTGATTCCAAATTGGATTCAAATTCTCATTTACAACCTACAATTCCAGAAACGAACATAACCCGACTACAATCCATCAAAAGAAGTGAAAAACGCATACAAAAAATGTCATATTCATGAGAAAGTAATTCACACAGATGCAACATTCACAAATGAATTGCGTAAGTTAGAAAAGCATACCCTTGTCTTGTTTTTGGTTCCAGTTTTCTTCATAGTGAGCACCACGAAAGGATCAGCTTTGCCCATTATATCTGCAGGCGGCAAGTCTTCAGCAGATATAACTGTGACGGATAGCACTCCTCTAATAATTACTGTTCTTTTTTTGTTCTTGGCTAGATCACCATTTTCAACACCCGAACCATCTTTGAGAACCTTTTCCAGAGATGTCATTGAAAAGTTGGAACTAAACGGGTTGGTGAACCCATTTTCCATGCCATATGGACAATATAATATCTCCAAGTGCACCTAGATGAAAGCAATCAAACAAACAGTGTAATAACTAAGAAGAAAATAAGCAATCAAACACGAGAGCAACTCTAGAGTTCTCACCTTCCCTCTGTCTTTATTGTCTCTATGGATATCCAAATCCTTTACCAATTTTAACCACATATCCTTCACTTTACCGGGCTCGACTTCATTCAGCTTTACTTGAGCACATCCAAGGAGTTCTGAAGCTTGAAGCCCATCATCATCATATATTTTTACTGTCAAGTGTTGGGTAGATGTATCTTCAACTACAAACTCGAAATGTTCATTCCAAACTGGATTCAAGTCGTTATCCTGAACAAAAAGTAAGCAGCAGAAGTTCATCTTTGTTCTTTGCAGAAGACAACAGAAATTTATGGAAATAAGGAAACTTACAATAACTTTGCTGGTTCTCATTCTACTACGCAAGGGGCGTATATACAACTTGGCAAAAGGATCAGATTTCCCAATAAGATCTTTATTAATCAGACCTTGTGCTTGTATAAGCTTCACCTCCAATGTCCCCATGGGCTTTAGTTCAAGGTCGCTAACAAATCATAGGTAAGATTCACATTTCAAGTTACTTATAACTTGTGATATTGATTTCTAGCACTCCCTTTAATCCCCTGAAAATTGCAATATTTCCTTTTCCATGAAGTTTTCAAGCTATAATGCCATATTTGCCCGTCGTAAACATCTGATGATATTGATTTGGGTTCGCATGATTTTCTTATTTTGTCATTCTTGAATCATATTTTAGACATATGCATTATTTGTTCCACAGCCTTACAGAAAACCAGTGCCAGGAAATATCTGTAAATCAACTCCATATTCGCTACAAACCCAACTCTTTTTTCCCCACAATAATTCTTTGCCATGTTTGCAGCCATACCTGTAATCACCAGGGAGAATGGGAATAACTTTTCGAACTGGCCATGTGATTGAATCCTCAACAGCATCATGTATGGTACTCTGCATAAACAAGAAAACATCTTATGAATGCATATACAATCATAGATGTTGCAACAATAAAGAAGCAAAAGTTCAAAATCCATCTTTATTAAATTATAATCATCGTACATATGCAACAACCACCATCAAAGCAGAACAAAGTGTTTATCTCACACAGAATTGAATCACTGTCAAACATAGGAAAAGAGATGAATCGGATACAAGAATGAAACTCACACCTCAAGAGCATCAGCAACACCAGGAATAGCAGATATGTCACCACCAACTACTTTCAGAGTAAAATCCATCTTTTTCTGCAACAAAAGAACAGAACTGTTTTACTCTCAGCTATCTGGTCATTAATTTAGAATTATAGTTCATCGCCGTGATATCCGAAAGAATTCCAAACAACGATAATGCATGCACATCTGTTTTTGTTATATTTGTTTGTATTTTGATACGACATAGTTTACCTAAAATTAGCTATTTCAATAAAATGTTTATATTTTACATAAGTTTGGACCACCAGTTGCCACCTGTAATGCTAGTATTGGTTCCTTTAAGAAATCAGTTAGTGTAGTCCCGAAGCTTCTTATATGAGCTGGATATAAGGCCATGCCTTCTTGATGTAAGGATATCTTTTTGATCAGTTTGAATGTGAATATGAAGCACACCAGAGCTTTTCTCTACGATTTAATTGTGTTCTCAAGGTTAAATTGCTTTTGGAGTTGTCATATTTCTCATCATATCTATAAAACATATGTTCTGTCCCATCCCGTGAAACTATAAAAGTTTGAGCAGTCTACATAGTTTACGAGAAATGTTTAACTATGAACCAAATATCTTAAGTATCCTCTATAATGTGAAAATAGGAGAATTCTAAGGACCCGGATAATATCATTAATTTCTCATAATGATGCAAAGGCCAATTAAGTAGTTTTATATTGAAAAGTTACTGAAAGGGAAAATGTCATAATTTTCATGGGACATTCCAAAAAAGAATTTCTTTCAATCTTCATAGGACAGATGGAGTATATAGTTTTTGAAATTTAACCATATGAAATGAAGCTTATTTGAAAACATTTAGATATATATATGATCTTTTACTTGGATAAAGTATCAACTCGAAGAATCTCTCACTAGATGTGTAATGATCATGTATGGTTCTGTTTGTTGATATGATTTCTTTCCATCCTCCGTTTTCCATTAAGTGGGTCCTATCTTCATTTGTCTCACATCTAAATATATGGGACCTGCAATCAATCTTATTTATTCACACAACATATAACTGCGACCCATAATCACATTTTTTTTATTTCTTCTTACAACATATGAATGGACAAGGCAAACAATTAATTTTTTGAGTTGGTAAATATATGAAATCCGGACCATGTTTTTCAATCTGCAACCTGTCGCTTTGTCCACAGATGTGACCATATCTGCTCTTCGAAAGAAACATCTTAAAGGAGAAAAGGGAAGTACCTTCTGTCTCAAAGAAAATGACACAGCGCCAAAGCAAGGAAATTCATTAACTAGCGGCTTGAAAATCAACCTAAAAACCCCAGTGAATGCAATATTATTCACCTATACAAGGAAAATGAATTGTCATGTACTCATGTTTATATTTAGTTACAGCTCCTTCAATATATTGTGATTATAGAAGGCTGAATATCCAGCATATACAAGAATATAAATAAACCCCAGAAGATGTATTCATGTATATACCGTTCATCCCACACGAATCCTCAAAATGGAACACATTTTTTGTCCATACTATGAACCATTAAAAAGCTTTAGTTCACAGCAAACTAATTATTTGTTATGTGTGCACCATAAAAATTGCAAGTTAATCAAGGGTATGTAGCTTTTAATTTGCAGGGATTTGATAATGCATAGATAACATCCAGCATCGTAACAAACTGTGTCTCAGAGAAGCTTTTAGAGTAGGTAACTCCACCAGTGGCAGATCTAGGAACCTCACTGGGCAGAAGCTCACTTGAGTTCAATTAATATTTTAACAACCAACTAAACTTGACTAGGAGTTGAATACAAGTTGTATAAATAACACGATGTATTTACTAAATGCAAATTGTTCTAAAGTTAGACTAAAAGCACATTTTACTATAGACTTTGAATTTGACAAATAATATCAAAGAATGGTGGGGCCTTTTGATTAAAAAACAAGTTCTCAATGCTAAATTTATTTCAGTCTTTAATATTTTATGTTTCATTCACCACTCACAAATAAAAAACAAGGGTGTTTTGATGTTAACATTAAGCATAGTTAATGTCAATCAGAACCCAATAATATCAAGGACGGCTAAATAAATTACTGTACCTGCACAGGCAATCCCACACCAAGTCTAGTCTTGACATCAAGTATTATATTAGGATTCCCATCCCAGTTCATCTCCAACTCCAGAGTTATTCCATCACTTCCATCTTCAACAATGGAAACTCCTACAAATCATAAGCAATTAGTAATGCCCATGTTAATAATAAATTAAAATTTTTGTGACATCATAAATATTTTCCCCAAATAAATGAAAGCTAACTAACCACTGCAACCTATGCTCAGAGAATGTGATAACTTGAAAACGGAAGAAAACAAAAGAATTAAGTGCAACTAGGAAATCATATATTAGTCTAACCTGTAAATTGCGGTGCGACGGTGCCAAGAGTGAGCTTGGAGAATCTCAAGGAAGACAGTACAATTGGTCTATATTGCTCAAGAATTGGCTCAACATTAGCCTTTATAAGCTCAGAAGCTGCCTACATCCATTTCACAATCATATAACTATCTCGCCATGGTACATGATAAACCGCGTCATGACCACCACACACCCACAAATCTTTATATAACAGAAACATAGTTATCATAACATAGATCGGAATCTCATCATCTTGATGGTTAATGTTCGATAATTGATTTAAGGAATAATTACATATCTGTTGGATTATAACTCATAAGGAGGTTTTTTTCCAGGAAATATACAAGTTTATCAAGCAAATTGCATAGAAATAATAGAATATAATTTCATGGCAAGTCGAGTCGAACCTATGATTAGTAAACAACCTTATGTTATTTGGGGAGTATTTGCTTGATTGCGGCATGAAAACCATATAATATGCTTGACCTTTGACATCAGTCCCCTATTAAATTACTCTCCAAAAGAGCCCTTGAGGAGAGAAGATAGGTTCCAGCATATATTGAGGAGAAATGGTCCAAGTCTAGCCGATGTGAGACTCTAACACAAGACACCATGTGGCTTGGCCACTGAGTATAAGACGTATAACGTATAAAAGGGACTCGTATTTGGAAGTTCAAAGCTGCCTACAGCGCCCTTTATTAAGCAAAGATGTTGTCACCCTCAACAGCACAAATGGTACAAAATTGGGATGTCAAATAAATCAAAACAGTTTGTCCTTGCTAAACTGACCTCGTCAACATAGGGCCAGATTTTTGTAAGATGAGCATTTAGCCAAGTCAACTGGAAAATGAGCAAAAGAATCAGTTCTTGGATATATCAAGAACATAGAGGAAACATAAATAAGTAGGAAGAATGTAAAATTAGGGAAACAACACTCAACTTCTGTCTCTGTGAGAAAACAACCCAAGAAGGATAATACTCTGGGGCAAGTAACTTTGTTGAATCTTCACGAGTCATCCTTGCAAGTGCAGCAACCGTTGTTGCCTTCGTAGCACATTTAACACAAATCAGTTGAGCCAACAACTTATAAAATCCACGTGTCTGTGTGTTTTGTACATGTAAACTTTACGTGGTGCATGGTATTCAGCATTACATCATCACAAATCTCTAACTCAAGTGTGCATATAAGTTGCATAAAATCAATTTCAAAACAAGTTCTGATTCACGCCATACAGTCATACACAAATAAACATATTCAATATTTGTGTTTTAGGCTTTTTGAAGTCTAGCGACTCTATTGACATTTGACAAACACAACTACAGATGCTGGTGTATATGAGTGTGTCATTCAATCCTTTAAACTTGCACCTGCGGAAATAAACATAAGTTGAGCACCATTGTGAAGTATGCAACTGAAAACTCATATCAACGCAGCTATAACCTAAGGAATTTACACACATACTTAGTGTGTGTTGAAAGATAAAAATCAAATGTTTGAACTCACAAATAGATTGTGTTCATTACAATGTTTTTGTAAGATTACATCTTCATCACTCAGATTTCCGCAGTCAACCTTCAACTCAAATCGAATCTATCAGTTTACATTAAAACACACAATTATGCAGACCTACTGTTATTTGTTTAGATCATTTAACATCAAACATTCCAAGAGGACTAAAGATGTTGTTGGTTCATTGACCAGCATCTTCCTAAATCGAAACGTGGCGCTGGCTGCTACGCTATAAGGATATAAGTTGCGCCTTCTCCACCAACAATTGCTTTTGGCGTAGTGGTAAGCGCTTGGATCCTAACATGTGGTATCAGAGCAGGTCACGGGTTCAAATCCCATGGAGTGCATAATAATGCGAAAGGTATGTTGTGCAGCCATTGACTTCTAACGAAGATCTTGTTAGTGCTGGCAGATGGGGGGGGGGGAATTGTTGGGTCATTGACCAGCATCTTCCTAAATAGAAACGTGGCGCTGGCTGCTACGCTATAAGGAAATAAGTTGCGCCTTCTCCACCAGCAATTGCTTTTGGCGTAGTGTAAGCGCTTGGATCCTAACAGATGTCATTATGGGTCATAATTACTTGATCTGTATAGATTTGAGATAGATCCACATAATAGAGGATATAGGCAGATGGTGTAAACAAGTAACATTTTAGACATATAATCCACAAGAGCTCATGTTTGAGTTATCATCGTATAAGAGCTCATGTTTGAGTTAAACACATCAGCTTTTTAGGAGTTTTACCTCAAATCAATGGACTAATCAGGAGAGTAAACTAAGAAAATATATGTTACGGGTTGTTCTACATTTAGGGGTCGTTTACCAAACACTTACCTGGTAAGCGCTTATCGGTAAAATCCAACACCATCACTTGCTTCTTGGGTAAGATTTTAGTCCACTAAAACAACATTATATGCACCAATTTACCCGGTAAGCTCCAACCATGGTAAGGGTCATCGCCTTCACTTACCAGGTAAGACTCTCGGCCCTTGCCTCGCTCTTACCAGGTAAGATTCTTGGTCCTTGCTATATTCATCTGGTAATGTGACATGGTAAGACAAGGTAAACATTTGGTAAACGGCTCTAACTCGATATGATATCAACACTTTTACTAATCCATCCCTACACTTTTTAGAAGCATGAGTGGCTGCATCCAGGATTCTAGTGGACTCCACAATCAAATCAAATCAAACAGATTAGCTTAAAGTTGATGGTGACCTATGATTATAGAATTAATCGATTTGATATGGTGTAGGGCCAATATGACAATTCACTATTCATCCACTCGAATCAATTCAGCTTTACACATACCAGGGTGTGTACGGAATACCAACATTCAAAATTGAAGTTTCATTGAACTTACAAGTGCAGAACGACGGTTGGATCGAGCATTTTGGGATCGAGCAAACCCAATAACAAGTGCTAACCCAGCTGTAATTCCAATTATTAATCCCACAACAAACGACATTCTTCAACAGATTTGCTGAAAGAGCTTAAAAATAGCAGGAAGAATCACAGAGCACCGCACTTCAAGCAGCTCTTAACTGGCAGCAGCAGCAGCATCCATCCACACCAGTACACACAAAAATCGCTTGAGCTGGATGTTGCTTGATCTTTTAGTGCATGTCGGATGCTTGTTTGTATAGAGCATTGAAATTAAAGATTGATGATGTGCCAAAAGTTGTTTTTGATGAATTAAGCGAGGATTTTGGACGGCGAATAACATGGAAAAACCATAGAAGATCCGTCTAAATATTTTTTTAATCCGTAATTAACAACTAATAACGTGATTATATTATATAAATCATTTACTTATTTTAAATCTATAATCTGTGTCTCAAAATAATTCCTGCCGGAAAACATGGCGTTGGCCGGCAAAGGGCATGATACCGACTTGTTGATTTTTACTTTTTCTTGGACCTTCTAGATACTTCTGCTCAATCGTATGCAATTTACTTATTTAACCCAAGGTCGCCTTGGATTCACATAATGATGTAATTTGTTAAAAGAATTTGACTTTAAAAAAAATTGGAATAGAATGATGTCAGATTTGATCATCTGCTTCGTTGGTCTCATGCTCCGATTTTTTTCTCTTTCGAGTGTCATGACGTCATTCTTACTAACTTATGTCATTGAACAAAATGCGAAATTAAAAATTTTGAACTTACATAATGTGTTTAACATAATTCATTACATAATTACGGAAGCGTAAAAAACTTTAAAATAATCAATGTTGTTTAAACTATCTAATCAAGCGTGAGTCAAAACATAGTCCCGTCTTTCTTCATTCAACTCCTCTAATGACAATTGACATATGAGATACATACATCTATAGCATAAGCTAAAAGCTGAGTGAATACAATATGGTTTCATGTTCACATGCACATATAAACAATGTTTTAATGTATTTTATGTTGCAAGTGAGGCATCGTCTCGTCACTTTTCTTTACGTATGTGGCGTATTCTATGGACGAGGACTCCAAGACCTCGGAATTACAAGCCCTCCATTTATGTCCAACCCGCCCCGTACGGTGGACGAATCTTGTCAAATCATACTAGTTGCATATCATTTATTTGCAATACTCATTCAATAATACAAATCTTATCATGACATGCAACATACATCTCATGCAAGTGACAACATAAATCACATATGCATCATCGTCATCTTTCACATTATACACATACTTGAATATCATATTAATAATATCAAGTCATCATGATTTTTCTCATCAACATCATCTTTCATATCATACATATACTTGAATATCATATACATCAATACAATCAAGTTGTCATCATATGCATATAAATACATCATGCAAATATCATGTATAAAACACTTTATAATAATCATGTATATATCCCATAAAAATCGCATAATATACTCACCTTGAATCGTTAGTGTTCGATAGGTTGTTTTTCTTGAAAACTGCAACATACATGATAATTCATATCATTCCTAAACACCTTAGATAATCGTAACTAAATTGATTATTATTCTCCAACAATCTTATCACGACTAATTTTGACAATTTTTATTGATCAACCCCCGATATTATCATATTTGTTATATTTCACTCAAATATTTTCTTGAAATATTATTAATAATGTAACGTCATTATAATATTAATTGTCGCTTGTATATTTTATAAAAATGTGCAATACACTTCACATTTTCCTTGAACAATAAATATTTTACCAAAATAGCTAAATTAAATAGTTTGCAACGTATATAATGTTTTATGGCCAAAACGTCTCTTTTAAAATTTGCAAGTGAATAATAGTGACAATATGTCGCATACATACAAATAATGGTCATGCCATAACTTTAAAGTTCAACATAATTAAATACTCGAAATAATGTTTAGAATACCATTTTTCTAAGTCTGGAGGCATTTCGGTAAATCTTAAGAAGCTGAATACCAAATGTATAACTTTAACCAATTCCTTAATTTAGGACATTCTTAGTATCTTTCAGAAGTCGAATATTAAAGCTCTACTTAAAAAGTCCAATCCCAAAGCGTAGGGGCATTTTGGTAATTTTATTAAGCAAATACTTGAAGTATTGCTAAAATACAGATTCCCTAATTGTAAGGCCAATTTGGCAATTTCATAAGGATAATAATAAAAATAAAGCTTAGATACTAATTCCCAAGTGATAGGGTGATCTTAGTAATTTATAATGCAAATATGTAAAAAAAATATCGCTAAAATACCAATTTCTAAATTATAGGGTCATTTTGATAATTTCATAAGAATTATATTCAAAATAAAACTTAGATACCAATTTCCAATGCATAGGTCATTTCGGTAATTTATAAAGCAAATACGTAAAATATTGCTAAAATACCGATTTCCAAAGTGTAGGGTCATTTTGATAATTTTATAAAGATTATATTCAAAAATAATACTTAAATATCAATTTCCAAGACATTTGGTCATTTCGGTATTTTTATAAATCAAATACGTAAAGTATTACTAAAATATTGATTTCCAAATATCGGGTCATGTTGTTAATTTCATAAGGATAAAAATATGAAAATGAAGCTTATATACTAGTCTCCAAGACATAGGGTTATTTCAGTAAATTGTAGAAAGCAAATACGTGAAGTATTGTTAAAAATCGATTTTCTACATATAGGATCATTTTGATAATTAAACAAGATAAATAATCCAAATTAGGTAAAGATTTGCATTTTACAAAAATTTAAATAAAATTTGATGAAAGTTTTATGAAAAAAATTATATTTCAAGAAATCCAGGGGCTTAAATGCTAATTTTTAAAACTTAAGTATTTAATGCATATTAAATATTTCAGTGTATAAAAACTAACAATAACCTTAGTTAGCCTACTAGTTAAGGTGATGATTAGTAAGGGAGAGGCTTGGGTTTGAATTAGGGCTGAAGCATAAAATCACTTCATTTTTTAAAGGCGGGTCAACACGTGGGTTTTGGGACGGATCTTGACCCGACCGCCCGGATTGCAACCCACGAAAAACAACAGCCATGGGTTGTACGTTTTTTTTACTGTTTTGAGCTCAAAAATGGCTCATCTCTTAATATTTTTTCTTCATTTTTTTGCACCAAAACCTTGGTAATATTTTTACCAACATTTTGACATAAAATACATAATTTTTTTTTGTCAAGAAACGAGTTCTAAAATTTGATTTAAAGTTTTGTTTTTAAAACTAAAACTCAACAACTTCAAAATATAAAAATCAAACCATGTAAACACAAATATGATACATGAGGCTACTGAGGTTTGATAGAGTACTTAAAATCAAAGTCTTAGACATTAAAATCAAGAGATTTGGTTAAGAATCACACCCAAAATCGGTGAAAACCCGAGATTTTTGATTTCAAACTTCAAACTCGGATTTCTCTCTCAAAACTCAAAGATTTTACTAGCTATTTGAATGAAAATAAATCAGTGCTCTACAATTTATATGCTGGAGTTTTGGCTTATTAGTTAAAGAAATCGGCTAGATCGCGAGTTTTAGGCTGCGAGTCGTTTAATACAAATAGGCATGTACTATTGGCAAAACAGGTCCCTAATCTTTGAAAAAGATGACTTTTTCCCCATAAACTTTCTGACATTTATAACCAAACCCTCCTCGGCGATGGTCGGCGGTGGTTCAGATCGGTTTGTATAGGGCGATGATCCAGATCAGTAGTAGTTGGTGATGGTTCAGATGCCAATGGTCGACAGTGGTTTAGATCGGCGGTGGTTCAGATCGGTGGTGGTCGGCGATGGTTCAGATCAGTAATGGTCGGTGGTGGTTCAGATCAGCAGTGGTTCAGATCGGTGGTAATCGATGGTGGTCCGAATGGCGATGGGTGATGGTGGTTCAGATGGCGGTGGTCGGAAGTGATTCAGATCAACGGTTATCGGAGGTGGTCGACGATGGTCATATTGGGTTTTATGAGATTTATATTAGGTTAAAGACATATTTGTTATTACGAAGATAGAGAATTCCATTTCATCAAAATATCATGTATTTGCTAAGGAATGTTAGATTCCTTTATGTGTGGAATTTGTAGGATTTTGAATATTCTTTTCGTGAAAAAGAATGAACCAAACGAGGAAAAAGAATTTGATCAATGGAATTCAACATTCCAATTCATTAGATTTCTTCAGAATCTGCAAACCAAACACCCCCTAAGTGAATATCATCAAATATTACAATATTAGCATGTAACGACTAAAATAGATACAAGTAAAAAAATTGAAATTATCACATCAATTAAAAAGGAATAAACTACAATTTTGGTCCCTGTTGTTTACATGAATCTTTGATAATGGTTTTTAGACTTCAGTAACTACAATTATCGTCCCTACTGTTTACAATTTGCTTTGAAAATCATCCTTTGGACTTAACACCGTTAAAAAAACTCAGTTAAGTGAAAGGTACTTCCATCTTTTATATTTTTTTTTTGTCTTTTTCTTGTTTTTCACCATGAGCATCCCGCACCTCCGGCCACCACCCTCACCCTCACCGTGATTGACTCCCACCTCCAGCCACCATCCTCCTACGGCGATACACAACAGTACACAGAGAGAATCTATAGAGAGAGAGACAGATCAATGGTGATATTTTGTGGCTCTGTGTGTATATGTGTGTGTAAATCTATATATAGAGAGAGATCAATGGTGATGTATTTTGGACTCTGTGTGCATACAGTGTATATATATATATAGGTGTATACAGTGCACAGTGTAGGTGTTGTATGTATATGCAATATGTACAGTGTGTGTATGTGTGTTACAGGTCTTGAGGTTGGGTTAGAGAAGAAAAGTGGGTCGGAGAAGACCACCGGAGATGGGTGTGAGATGTTCACTGGAGATGGTCCCTGTGTGTATGTATGCATATGTATGGAGGATAAAGTGACAATTAGAAGGATCATGGTGGTGCAGAGGTTGCTGGGACTGTGGAGGGAGAAGATTAGAAGATAGGAATGGTGGTGTTCGGTGGTAAAAAGCAGTCCGAAGGAGGCTATTAGAGTGTCTTTGTGTGTGTTTTACAACGACGTTACAGTGTGTGCATGTGCAAGGATAAAGGTGCGCTAGTGGTCATCAGTAGTATTGAGAAAGTTGAGGGTGTTAGGGTGTGTTTTTGTCTGATTATATGTATGTATACATATGTGTATATATAATGTATGTGTGATTATATATGTATTATATATGTGTATGTGATTTTATATATAATATATTTTTGTGTGAATTCTTTTTCCTCAGTTAAAATTCAGAGTTGTCTTTCAGATTTG